TAAATGGCCTCCACTCTGTAGTTAAAAGACACAGACTGGCTGAATGGATTAAAAAAACCCATCTACTTGCTGCCTACAAGAAAAATCTCACCAACAGAGATGCACACAGACTAAAAATGAAAGGATAGAAAAAGATATTCCATGCTTACAGAAACCAAAAAAGGGCTGCTGTAGCCATCCTAATATCAAACAAGATACATTACCACAAAAACTGTTAAAACAGACAAAGAAGGGCACTGTGTAATTATTAACAGATCAGTTCAACAGGAAGATATAACTATTACAAACTTTGGTGTACCTAATTACAGGGCACCTAGCTATTTAAAAGAAATGTTAAGGAATCTAAAGTGAGACATAGACTCCAATACAATAGTAATGGAGGACTTCAATACCCGACTTTCAGCAATGGATGGATCAACCAGACAGAAAATCAGCAAGGAAACAGGAGAGTTAATTGACACTATAGACCAAATGGATCTAACAGATATCTACAGAACTTTTCATTCTACAGTTGCAGAATACACATTCTTCTCATCGGTGCATGGAACCTTCTCCAGGACAGACGACATGCTAGGCCATAAAACAAGTCTCAGCAAATTCAAACAAATAGAAAGCATACAATGAATCTTCTCAGACAACAATGCAATGACGCTGAAAATCAGAACTCAGAAATCTCTACAACATAGCAGACACATGGAAACTAAACAAGATGCTCCTGAATGAACAGTGGGTCAGAAAAAAATCAAAAGAGAAATCAAAAAATTTCTGGAAACAAATGAAGACAACAATGCAAAACTTATATGATAAAACAAAAGCAGTATTAAGAGGAAAACTTATAGCAGTTGGTGGAAAGGCACCAAATAAATGAGCTATCAGTGCATCTCAAGGATCAAGAAAAACAACAGCAAACCAGACCTAAAACTAGTAGGAGAAAAGAAATAATTAAAATTAGAGAAGAAATCAACAAAACTGAATCTAAAAAAAAAAAAAAGATCAGCAAAACAAAGAGTTGTTTTCTTGAAAAAATAAATAAAATTGACACACCATTGGCCCAACTAACCAAAAAAAGGAGAGAGAAAACTCAAATCAATAAAATCAGAGATGAAAAAAGAAATATAACTGAAGGTAATTGAAAATGAAACATGATGAAGGACAGGATGGGAGAGGGAGTGGGTGAGGGGAGGGCCACGGGAGGGAGGGAGGTTGGGGGGGGAAGCCACAACAATACAAAAGTTGCATTTTATATTCTACTTAAAACTATTGGTTGAACTCTGTAATTAATACACAGTTACCCTTAGGTGTTTAATTAATGCTATAACTAGTACTCAAATAGTATTTTACACTTTGTGTTTCTGTGTGGGAGCAAAATGTGGAAATCTTTACTTAATATACGCTAAATTGATCTTTAGTATATAAAGATAATTGAAAATTAATCTTGAAGTGAAGGGGAAGGGGAGAAGGAGTGGGAGAGGGGAATGTTGTGGGTGGGAGGGAAGTTATGGGGGGGAGGAAGCTATTGTAATCCATAAACTGTACTTTGGAAATTTATGCTCATTAAATAAAAAAAGCAAGAAAAAAAAAGAAAAAAGAAATATAACAACAGATACCACAGAAATAAATAGGAGCATCAGAAATTACTACAAAGAGTTGTGTGCCTACAAACCGGGAAACATAGAAGAAATGAATAGGTTCTTGGACACGTATAACCTACCTAAACTGAACCATGAAGACATAGAAAACCTAAACAGACCCATAACTAAGTCAGTAATTGAATCACTAATAAAGGCCCTCCCAACAAAGAAAACCCCAGAACTGGATGGATTCACTACTGAATTCTACCAGACATTTAATGAAGAACTAACTCCAATTCTTCTCAAGTTACACAAAACCACTGAAAAGGAGGGAATCCTCCCAAATTTTCTCTGAAGGGAGGAGAGAACTTCCATTTTGCTCATGGCCTTGTCTAAATACTGACAGAGATTGTGGACTGAATACGCTTCCATAGCCTTGGCTACTCATTTAAAGAGCCTCAGGTGATCACAGATGTCATACATACAAGTGTTAATTGTTAAATTAACAATAGGAGTCACCATGCACTAACTTCCCATGCAGAACCTCTGTCCTCAATGAGTTGGATTGTGAAAGTTAACTGTAAAACTTGTTCTCAAACAGTTTTGTGTGTGTGTGTGTGTGTGACTTGTTGAAGTCTTTACTTAGTATAGAGTTGGTCTTCTGTGTATAAAGTTAATTGAAAATGAATCTTAATGGAGAATGGTAATGGGAACAGGAGAGAGAGGAAAAAAAGGGGTTAGAGTGTGGGTGGAAGAGCTAGTGTGGTAGGAAGAATCACTATATTCCTAAGTTGCACTTATGAAATTTGTATTCCTTAAATAAAATGTTTCTTTGGGGAATAAAAAAAAGGCAGGGATAATAAGAAACCTAAAATGGCTGAGGTTTATGTCCTTCTTCCATCAGTTTGTTTAAAGAAATAACAATAGAAAAACCCCCTGTATTGAAAATGCTTAACCAATATGGAGGTAGAGCATAAAATTTTCATATGCCAAGAATAAATACTAAAAAAGAAAAGAAAATAGCAAAACACTGACAGGTACAGTTTCTTGCCATTTGGAAGCACCATGGAAAGAAATATGTGAATTAAGGACAACATTATTTTAAACTTAAATTCCCACACCTCTCAAACTATCTTTTAGTTTGGCTTCTTCCTATTTATTTGCTCCATTTTTTTCCTCAAAAGTTCTCACAGATGCTGTGATATTCTCAATATTAAGCCATTTTGGTCAATGTAATCATTTCAAACGTTCCTTGGTGCTTTCCCAAGTTTCAGCTTAGCTGTGACTTGTGAATCAGTTATCTGTGGGGAGCAACTCGGACTAGACTAAGTTACTGGAATTAAGACTTATTCTATGCATCTGCTCTCCCACAATATGGCGCTGGGAGAGGAGTAAACAGCTTCTACGCAGCTGCCTCCAGTTCGACCAATGACCTGCAGGAGCTGATCCTGCTCCTGATTGGAGGAGAGCAGTGTACTCGGCGTGTGGGTAGCAGAGTTGGGATTGGTGGAAGAGGACTATAAAGGAGGAGAGAGACAACATGCACCAGGAACATCTAAGGGGAACATCCGGATAACATCTAAGCAGCCCCCGAGAGAGCCGGCCGGCGGTGTGCCGCTCCCCCACGGAAGTGGGGAAAGTGGCAGGGGGCCCGCCCCTCCACGGAGGTGGAGGGACAGCAGCCAACCCGGGAAGAACCACAGCAAACCCGGGAAGGGCCGAGCAGACAAAAGAACAACGCAGGGTCCTGTGTCGTTCCTCCGTGAAGAGGGGGAGCGACATAATGGTGCCGTGACTCAGATATGAAGCCTAGGAGGGATAATGGTGCCGTGACTTGGATAGGAAACCGAGGAGGGAAGAAGCAGGAAGAAGCGGGAAAATACTGGAGAGAGAGACTAGCAAAGAGCCTAGGGAAAAGCCGGACAGAAAAAGTGCCGGAAGAAGTTAGATTGAAAGCGAAAGTGAAAGCTGGAAGAAACATAGACTCGGATACGGACTATGGCAGGGAAGCTAGGGGAAATCTATGGTTAAAAGCGAAAGTGAAAGCTAGAAGAAACTTAGACTCGGATATGGACTGTGGGGAGAAGCCAGGAGAAATGAGAGAGAAATATTGTTGGAAGAAACTTAGGGAAATATACTGGGTAGAGAAAAATATGCTAGGGAAAATGAAGCCACGGGGGCAGGCCGAAGCGGAGACGTAAGCTAGGTTGGGATTCGTCAAGTCAGCCCAGGGAACAAAAGGCGAAAATCTAAAACCAGAAGCGGAGACGTAAGCTAGGTTGGAATCCGTCCGATTAGCCCGGGGAGCAAAAGACAGGAAGCCAAACCGGGAGCGGAGACATAAGCTAGGTTGGAATTCGTCAGGTTAGCCCGGGGAACTTAGACTGAAAACCGAGAAGCGGAAACGTGAGCTAGGCAATGGTTCGCGGAAGCCGCCGCGCACAGAAAGCGTGCGCGGGGCACAAGCGGAGAAAGCGCATGGGGCGTGAGTAGATAGGGAATGCGGGGCTGGCGCGGAGGCCGTGGTGCGGGCGCGAAGGGCGCAGAGACCGCGGAGCGCGCGCGAAGCCGGGAAGCTGAAGCCGCGCAGAGCCGGGAAGCCGCTGCGGGGCGAGGCGCTGAGAAGCAGCCTCGGGGCGGGCGCCGGGAAGCCGCGGGGATAAGAGAAACAGAAGTATAGAAGTAAAATGAGAGAAATAGGAATGCGGGCAGATAGAAGTAAAATAGGAGAAATAGGAATGCCCGGAGATAGAGAAATAGAGAAAAATAAGGCCTCCCCACAACATGGCAATGAGAGAGCTCGGATTTGGTCTGCCTGATTAGTAAGGCGATGAGCACCTGCGGGCGGCTAGCAGCTTATCCGCCGCAGGTCACCGAAGAAAGGCATGAATCAACATCAATAAGTCTCCCCACAATACGGCAATGAGAAGGCTCGGATTCGGTTTGCCTGATTGGCAGGGCTTGTAAGCACCTGCAGGCAGTTCTAGCAGAGCAGAGCGTGCGCTGCAGGGCACCGAACACAGGCACGCATCAGCACCTAAAAACCTCCTCACAACATGGCGAAGAGAGGACCCGGATTCGGTTTGCCTGATTGGTAGGGCTTGTAAGCAGCTGTGGGCAACTCTAGCAAGCAGAGCAGAGTGTGTGCCGTGGGGCACCGAAGACAGGCGCGTGTCAACGCCAAAAAATAAAAAGAAAGGGGGAACAGTGGGGAGCAACTCGGACTAGACTAAGTTACTGGAATTAAGACTTATTCTATGCATCTGCTCTCCCACAATATGGCGCTGGGAGAGGAGTAAACAGCTTCTACGCAGCTGCCTCCAGTTCGACCAATGACCTGCAGGAGCTGATCCTACTCCTGATTGGAGGAGAGCAGCATACTCGGCATGTGGGTAGCAGAGTTGGGATTGATGGAAGAGGACTATAAAGGAGGAGAGAGACAACATGCACCAGGAACATCTAAGGGGAACATCGGATAACATCTGAGCAGCCCCCGAGAGAGCCGGCCGGTGGTGTGCCGCTCCCCCGCGGAAGTGGGGAAAGTGGCAGGGGGCCCGCCCCTCCACAGAGGTGGAGGGACGGCAGCCAACCCGGGAAGAACCAGCAGCAAACCCGGGAAGGGCCGAGCAGACAAAAGAACAACGCAGGGTCCTGTGTCGTTCCTCCGTGAAGAGGGGGAGCAACAGTTACCTACAGCTTTCTGCTGTGCAAAACAGAAAGTGAGTCAGTCCTCAAGCTATGGGGACAATATTCAGAACTTCTTAGGTTATCACATGAGTACAAGCATTTTACATAAGAGTTTGTTTACAGCTACTGGAGTACATTACAGAGTAAATATAATATTTAAATCATGAACATGGTTATTTACATGATAATTAGATGTGATTAATCATTACTTTTACATTGTCATTGTTAATGAAAGTAAAATGGAATTTATTTTCTATTTCCTATGGCACCTCTTCCAATCTGTTTTTGGTTACTCTTCTTTCTACCTAGAGCACTTTGGCACTTTATGCTGTTATTTAGCATTTATATAGCTTTCTTTGTTCAAAGCACTGAGAAACAAACTACATGGTGAGTTCTATTTGTGGAGTAAGGGGGAATTATAATTGCATTTTTATCATTAACTCCATTAGAACTGAACATTTTCCTGCATTCATAACTCCACTAGAGCCTGAAAAAAAGAAAGCTTGCTCAGACAAAATAGGTCCCTGCTGCTACAAAATTAAGAAACTGAAATTTAAGTAAATTAAAATATTTTGGGATGCCATAGTCTCAATACTCAAAAATGCAACACTTGCAAAGAAGAACAGGGCTGGGCGCTTTGCTTTGTAACTCTGCTTCCAAGCTCCCAGTTGGATGATGCAGCCACAGGAGATCATCGGTAGAAGGAACTCATTTTGTGGAATTAGCTTCTTCCCATGAGATATGTGAATACACACTGACACTGTGCTTGAGGCCTCTGCTATTTCATTTTCATTTAGTCACTCTTGTTTCTAATAGTTTACTGGTTAATGGCAAGAATTCCATTCCCAACTGCAATTTCAGCCCAAGTTTACCTCTTATTTCATAGTAGTTGAGGTAGAGAAAGTATTTCCACTTGATGTTTTTTAAACTGAATCACAGTCAAAAAACAAAGACAACTTTATGGTATCTGGATATTTTGATGTTCTAATTCTGAAAACAGTTTATAGAAAGAAAATTTCACAGATTATCTAAGCTTTAGACACACATGATTGTTTATGTAAGAATCCTGCAATGAGCATTTAGAAGCATAAATATATTTTTATATTTTGAAAATGTAAAAAAACAAAAATTCAACTGAAATCATAACAACTAGAATTAACATTTGTAGCCCCATTTGCTGTAGCCACAGTTTGAATGCTTACTGTGGATGTTCTCATGACTGCTGATACTCCCTGTCTGATGATGAGAAATGCTGGTTGTGATTTATAAAATTAGCAAATGGATTAGTAATAATCACCTAGAAACAAGGTCACACTTCCTTTCATATCCAAATTGTGATGTCATATGACACTACTGACTTGATTGCCAGAAATGATCTTCCTCTGGATAGTCCCACGAGTGTCTAAATATCCCCCAAAGTCTCACATATCCTTTTGTCAAAGCAGTACATTCCTTGATTTGCTGTTCTACCTGCTGTTTCTACTTCTGTTCTCTCTCTCCTACCTTGGAAGCTGTGGAGAAGACACATCATCAGCACGACCCACAATAAGAGTGTGAACTTCTAGCTGGCAGCACTGTCTCTGAAGGACCCAACTCTCCAGTCTTCAAAGTGCCAGAATTTCTGTGCTTCCGGGAGTGACTCAGACAGCAAGACCTCTCTGAGCTGTTAAAACATACACATTTTCTTAGACACAAAAGATCTCTATGGTGTCTCTTAACCAACAGCTTCTGGTTATCTCCAGTTTCTGGTTATCTCCAGTTTCTTAGAACTTTTAAAAAAAAATCAAGGAAAATAATTTTATCATACTCTGATTCTCAATCCCAGACCCACCCATACCTTCCCCCCAAAAAAATCAAACACAGTCTTAAAGGATAAACAAAAACTAAAAACGATATTTTTACTTTTATCCTATCAACCTATTTTTTTCTTCCACAACAAAGACATAAAAGGCATTGCAGCCTCTACCTCATTTTCTTGGACAGCTTGCTTTGGGGGAATCTGATCACCAAGTCATGAGGGAGAATATTCAAGCAGCCCTGATGAAGGGTCCTTATGGAGGAAAACAGTCATCCTACCACCAGCAAACACCAATTTGACAGTTATTTCTGCTTAACAGCCTTTCAGCAGTAGCATTTAGCCTAATTTTATCTTCAGGAAAATGATTATCTCAAGTGACACATCAGATACTGAGGCAAAGTTGTATATCAAAGGATTCTGTTAACAGAGTGAAAAGGCAGCTCAGGGGGTGGTTATTTCCAAGAATGGTTAAGAAGCTGCTTGGAAATCTGGCAATGGATCAAATATCTGCTCAGCTTCTCATCCAGCTTCCTGATAATGTACACCTTGAGAGGTAGCAGGTGATGGCTTAAGTATTGGGTACCTGCCACCCATGTAGGACACCTGAGAGACCTGCACTGAGTTCTGGACTCCTTGTTTGGGCCTAATCTAGCTTGGCTGTTGCAGGCATTTGGAGAGCAAAATGAAAGATAGAAGTTCTCTCTCTCTCTCGTTCTCTCTGTTGCTTTGCCTTATAAATAAATAAAAATAAAACTCTTTAAGAAATAGTTCATGTGGAAAAGTGGAACTAAATATGTTTAATTCTTTTTTTTAAAGATTTATTTATTTATTTGAAAGGCAGAGTTACAGAGAGAAAGAGGCAGAGAAAGAAAGACAGGGAGAGAGAATCTTCCATTGGTTGTTTCACTCCCCCACATGGCCACAATGGCCAGATTTGCGCCAATCTGAAGCCAGGAGCTTCTTCTGGGTCTCCCACATGGGAGCAGGGGCCCAAGGATTTGGACCATCTTCTACTGCATTCCCAGGCCATAGCAGAGAACTAGAGCAGAAGTGGAGCAGCCAAGACCTGAACTGATGCCCATATGGGATGCCGACATTGCAGGTAGTAACTTTACCTGCTATGCCACAGCACCGACCCCCTAAATATTTTTATTTCATAAAAGGCAGTTCAAGGAATGTAAGAAAAAATGTCAAAATAATTTGTCTGATGAGTGACTATTATCTGGACTATATAACAATTTCTACAATGCACAAAAACCTAATGATTGTATACAAGAAATCATTTCTGGGGGCCTGCGCCATGGCTCACTAGGTTAATCCTCCACCTGCAGTGCCGGCATCCCATATGGGTGCCAGGATCTAGTCCCAGTTGCTCCTCTTCCAGTCCAGATCTATGCTGTGGCCTGGGAAAGCAGCAGAAGATGGCCCAAGTGCTTGGGCCCCTGCACCCTCATGGGAGACCAGGAAAAAGCACCTGGCTCCTGGCTTCAGATCGGCATAGTCTGACCATTGTGGCTATTTGGAGGATGAACCAACAGAAGGAAGACCTTTCTCTCTCTTTCTCTCTCTCTCATTGTCTGTAACTCTACCTGTCAAATAAATAAATAAAAATCTTTTTTAAAAAATTCATTTCTGGAAGATAATAGTGCAGAAATTATTCTTATATATAGCCAACTGGTTTTCAACACAGGTATAAAGGAAATACCATGGGTTTTGATAGGTTTTGTTTTTAACATTTGCTTATATATTTGAAAGTTAGAGTTACAGAGAGAAGAGAAACAGAGACAGAGAAATCTTCCATCTGCTGATTCACTCCCCAAATGGTGACAACAGCCAGAACTGGGCCAGGCAAAAGCCAGGAGCCAGTAACCAGGAGTTTCATCCCAGTCTCCTTATGGATGTCAGCAGTCCAGGCACTTGGGCCATCTTATGCTGCTTTCCCAGGTCACTAGCAGTAAGCTAATCAGAAATGGAACCACTGGGACAAAAACTGGTATCCATTTGGGATGCCAGCATTGTAAGTGGTGGCTTTACCCTCTACATCACAATGCCAGCCCTGAAATGATAGTTTTTTCCAAAAAATAATGCCCAAATAATTGGATATCCATACTCAAAAAAAGAAATTTCACACCTATCACTATATACAAAAATGAACTCAAAATGGATTGTATATCCAAGGATACAATTTAAATACTTCTAGAAAAGAAAATAAAGAAATATTTTGTGAGGTGGGGCTTAGATATGAAAACATATGCACCATCCATAAAAGAAAACAATTGATAAATTTGAACTTCACTAAAATTAAGATCATCCACTCTACAAAGACAATTTTTTTTAAATTTATTTGACAGGTAGAGTTATAGACAGTGAGAGAGAGGGAGAGAGAGAGAGAGAGAAAGATCCTCCCTCCATTGGTTCACTCCCCAAATGGCCGCTACGGCCGGCGCTGTGCCGATCTGAAGCTAGGAGCCAGGTGCCTCTTCCTGGTCTCCCATGCGGGTGCAGGGCCCAAGCACTTGGGCCATCCTCCACTGCCCTCCCGGGCAGAGAACAAAAGGACAAGAACTGGAAGAAAATATTTGGTAGTCATATTTCTTTTTTTTCTTTTTTTTTTTTTTTTTTTTTTTTTTGATGCTCTTTGCACCCAACCTGATTGCCAGATGTCAGGCACACATTCTCCTGGAGCTGCTGCAGTTGAAGAGATGTAGGCCAGACTTGCAGCAATTGGACCTGGGAGTCCCAGTGGCAGCATGCAGTGCACCATCTGGTGGTAGGAGGTGAGATGGTGGGGCTGGCCTCAAGTCTGAGAGGCCACCACCCCTACTTGGTTCTTGGGGGCAGAATGCCTTTTTTTTTTTTTTAACAGGCAGAGTGGACAGTGAGAGAGAGAGACAGAGAGAAAGATCTTCCTTTTGCCATTGGTTCACCCTCCAATGGCCGCTGTGGCTGGCGCACTGCTTTGATCCGAAGCCAGGAGCCAGGTGCTTCTCCTGGTCTCCCATGGGGTGCAGGGCCCAAGGATTTGGGCCATCCTCCACTGCACTCCAGGGCCATGGCAGAGAGCTGACCTGGAAGAGGGGCAACCAGGACAGAATCCGGCGCCCCGACCGGGACTAGAACCCGGTGTGCCAGCACCGCAAGGTGGAGGATTAGCCTATTGAGCCACGGTGCCGGCATCATATTTCTGACATAAGATTTTCAAGCCAAATAAATAATTATCATAATTCAATAATAGAACTCCAGTTTTTCAAATGGACAAAAGATTTGAAAAGATGTTTCACCAAAGACAATGTATAACCAGTATTGTACATGAAAAGATGCTTAACATCGTTAGTCATTAGTGAAATGCAAACTAAAATCAGAATGAGATACCATTAGATACTTTTATAATGTCCAAAATTTAAAGCACTTGGCATGCCAAATGTTAGGGAAATTATACATTAAATGATCTCACACTGCTTCTGGGAATATAAAATAACACAACAACTTTGGAAAACAGTTTAGTTAATAGTTTCTTTAAAAGCTAGACATATACATAGTATATAATCTAAACATTCCATTTCAGGATATTTTCTCAAGAGAAATGAAACAAATGTGCAGACTTGGAGGGAGTGATCATAACAGTTTTATTTGGAACAGCCCAAAATTGCAAACAATTCACCTACTCATCCACAAGTAAATGGATAAACAAATTGTATATTCATAGGATTGAATACAAAAAAGGGATACATGTGGCTACATGAATGAACGGCAAAGTAATTACGCTGAGTAACAGAAGCAGGCCATTGTGTTGCAGCAAATTAAGCTGCCACCTGGGACACCTTAATCTCATATCAGAGTGCCAGATCATGTCCTTTTACTCCACTTCCTATTCAGCTTCTTGCTTGTGCACCTGGGAAGGCACCAGGTGATTGTCCAAATACTTGAGTCCCTGCCATCCACTTGGGAAACAGATGGAGTTCCATGCTCCTGGCTTCAGCCTGGCCCAGTGCAGGCTTTTGTGGGTGTTTGGGAAGTAAACCATTAGATGGAATCTCTTTCTCTGTTGTCTCTCTCTTCTCTCCCTCTCTCTCTCTTCCCCCTCTTTGTCACTCTGCCTTTGAAATAAACAGATTTTTTTAGAAAAAAAAAAAGCCAGACAAAACAAAGCACTGTATGATATGATTCTATTCTAGAAAATTCAAATTATACTCTACTAACAAAAGGTATTATCAATGGTTGCCTGGGAATGGAGAGAGGAGAGAGATTTCATAGAGGGAAGGTTTGGAGGTAATGGATATGTTCATTATCTTAATTGTCATGATGGTTTCACTAATATATACATATGTGTCAAAGCGTATCAAATTGTTCAGTTTAAACAGTAGATGAGGTAGGCATTTGGCCTAGCAGTTAAAATGCCTGCTTCTTGTATCAGAGTGCCTGGGTATGATACCCACCTGCAGCTCCGACTCAAGCTTCCTGATGATGAACAACAGGCAGCAGATGATGGCCCAAGTACATGCCCCATGTGGGGCACCCAGGCTGAGTTCCTGGTTCCTGGCCCAAACCCAGCTGTTGGAGGCACTTTATAGTGAATCAGGGGATGAGAATGCTTATTCTTCCTCTCCTCTCTTTCTCAAATAAATGAATTTTTATTCTTAATAATACTGTTTTTAAATTAAGAATACAACCCTTTTTAATGATATGTTGCAAAATCACCTGGGGATGGAGCTGATTTTTGATTCTTTGGCCTGTATCTAAAGACTGTATTAAATGCCATAGTAAAGACATCATAAATATAAAAAATATTTGTTCAAAAATAGAATAGAGATATAAAATCAAAGAAAAATCTAACTCTTGTTCAAGACACCTGTAAACAGCTCCCACAGCCTTGGGGAAGAAGGAAGAGGAAATTGTCTGTCAGAGAAGCCTCCTTTGTAGGGCTGGATTAGCCTCCCCTCCTTATGCTGAAGGTTTCCCACTGACTTCAAAGAAGTCTTGAGATCAGAGAAAAATAGAGCTCGCAGGAATAATTGTAGCAAGGTTGGGACTCTCTTAAAGAGATTCTCTTTTGAGCTGTACCCATGATGACATTATCATATTATCGATGATAAGAGGGCTTGGGGTGGGACCAGTGAGCCACTAAAGCTTGCTTAAGCATCAAAGAGGGGACAAGAAAAGCATTCAAATCAAAGCAGAATTTTTTAAAGTCATAGAATAGTGATGCAATTCCTTGCTGTAGGAGTGACTGTGACAAATAAACTGTTTCTGTTTGAGATTGGCTTTCCTAGCTGTCACTGGTTTGTGGGAGAAAAGCACTAAAAAATATATAGCTAAAGAAAGAGAAATCTATTACCCAAGCTACCGTAATACAATAGCTTAATATTGACACAAATTCAGTGTGTGGATTGGGGTCACAGCAGTGCACATATAATAATCACATGCTGCACAATGAAACAGAAGCATGCTGCTGAAGTGAGGTGGCCTGGATAATACAACGCATGGAACAGCCTTCTGGCCAGAGAAACAACTGATTCTGAAATAATGCTCTGAAAAACTGAACCAATAATAGAACTGGAGGATCTAAGATGTAAATGGAAAAATAATTACTAGATAGATTTATTCAGTTTCATGAACCAGCAGGAAAAATGGAATGATGCTGCACAATAAGGTTGAACATCAGAGCTGCAAATTTGCTCTTATTGAGTGAGCTGGAAATATGATTTAATGTTCTTGGCAAAATATCAATTCAAAGAACTGATGAGTATTAGAAAGATTTTGTATTGGGTAGTGAGAAAGACAGACAGACAGACTTGAATTCTAAAGACCTCTAACATAGGGCTGGATGCGTTAAGTGTTTTAATATTTGGGCAACACAGAGAAAGGAGAGATTAATGCCAGTTTGTGTTGAATAGAAAAACATGTTGCAATACACAGAGAACCACAGTATTCATAGAAGGTGCTCCGAATAACAGCTTTTACTTCATTTATCATTCAAAAAGTATGAAGGTTTACAGCTTTTAAGAAGATAAAGCTTTCATTTGTTTTTTACACCAAAAAAAAATAAATTTATTCCTTAGCTTCTGAAGCTATCTTTCTAAAATAGTTATATAACTTCCGTACTAGGTACAGCCACAGCAGGTGTACTTCAATGAGATCATGCCCTCTCCCCCATTCTCCCTTGTCACACAAAGTTGGACTGAATGAAATCCAGCTCACATAAAGACACAGAAGGCCTTGCCCTGCTTATTTTCAGACTAAAGTTAAACCCTGTCCTGTGCATTGTAGCCATGCTGAGCCCTCACCTCTAGCTACCAATTAGCACTGCTGTTTCCTTGAGCTCTGTGACTGCCTCCCTGCTTGCTTCTTACATAGGGGATCAGCAGGATCCCACCTGTTAGAAACCAAAAACAGTGGGGTTGTGTGTTTCTGTTACATCAGTTGTGTGTTATGGCAGGCTCTTCTGCAGAGAACTGCTTGAAACTTTTCTGGAATAATTGCCACAGAAGCAAACAAGCACTATTGTATTGGCAATAACATAAAGATATGGCAGATTCTGCACATACAGTCAGTTTATGAATTTTTTAAAATTTATGGAGCACATTTTTATGCAGTTTATATGTATAAGGAGTAGGGTTGCCAGACTTAGCAAATAAAAATATAGAATGACCAATTAAGTTTGAATTTCAGATAAATAACAATTGATTTTTAGTGTAAGTAGGATCCAATCACTATTAATAATGCAAGTATTAATTGTATTTTAGAAATGTTTATTGTTCATCTAAAATTCAAATTTATGTACCATATATTTTAAATAGCAACTCTAATTGAGATGAATTCAAAGAGTTGTAAAGAGTGGATGGTATTAGAAAAATAAGAGAGGGCATTGAGGAGGGAGGACCAATATGGATAAAGACAGGAAGTAGCTGCATTTTTCCAGAGGTGATTAATAAAGCAATTCACATAAACAGTGGTATAAAAAAGCTGGGGATGGTATGTAACATTTTTTAGAAAAAAGTTATTTAATTTCTCTTCAGGGAATTATTTTGCTTAGCAAACACCTGGAAAGGCCATTTTGGTTGACCATTATGAGCAGGGACATAAGAACATTAGGTTATATGAAAACAACAAAGATAGCCGGCGCCACGGCTCAGTAGGCTAATCCTCCGCCTTGCAGCGCCGGCACATTGGGTTCTAGTCCCGGTCGGGGCACTGGATGCTGTCCAGGTTGCCCCTCTTCCAGGCCAGCTCTCTGCTGTGGCCAGGGAGTGCAGTGGAGGATGGCCCAAGTGCTTGGGCCCTGCACCCATGGGAGACCAGGAGAAGCACCTGGCTCCTGGTTTCAGATCAGCACAATGTGCCGGCCGCAGTGCGCCAGCCGCAGCAGCCATTGGAAGGTGAACCAATGGCAAAAGGAAGACCTTTCTCTCTGTCTCTCTCTTTCACTGTCCACTCTGTCAGGAAAAAACAACAACAACAACAAAGAAATTGTGAATTTATAGGACAGTTCCACAGAGGAGGAAAGTTTTGAAGAGAATGACATTGTACAGGAAGACAAAAGAGAGAAGGAGGAAATTTTGGCCAGAGAAAAATTCCCTACAGCAGCCAAATGATTTGAAAGAACCAGAGTGATCAGTATGTTGCATCATCATCTGTGCTGTTCTGACATTTATGTATCTGCCAATGGCTGAAATCTTCAGTAAAAAATTATACACCTGAGAGTAGATTGAGAGATGAGGAAAAGCGATGGGATAATTCAGATTCATTTAACTTTCTCTTTTACCATTTCTGGCAAGAGATAACTTGGGAAGTCTTGGTTTCATGATTCTGCACATGTTAGCAGAGCTATGAATGTTTGTGTAAGAAATACTGCTTTGTTCCTACCCTATTAGCTCTGTATATCTGAATGTGTTTATATGTGTTCCTATGTAAAGATTCCAATGAATTCAAGTGTGTATATGATTTATTCTGTTCCCTAGGGTGGGTGAGTTTATATTACAATCTATGAGAGACCAATGAAACTTTTCTTGCAATTGCTTGCAATATTTCTTAGTTGTGTTTCTAATGTCTTCCCAAAACTAAATACTGAGTCATGAAAACAGTGACAAATTAATACTAAGTATATATTTCCAGAATAATGACCTCAGAGTGATTATTTGGCCAACCACGTGGATGATTTGGGAATAAGGACTACTCCTTGAAATAATGATTGATACTTTACAAATTTTCCCTCTGGATAAGGAATAGATCTATAATCAAAGATATCATCAGGGATGTTAGAGAATAGCCAGGATGCTTGTTTATGTCTCAATGTTATATAACCCTAATAGCTACAGGGAAACTAGCTATTGCTCCTTTGCAATTACTGTGCTGTTACTCTTTCACCATCTCCTGAAAAATTACCCACCCCCAAAAAAGCAATCTGTGATTTACCATTATTCTTAGAATATGTCCATGATTCTGCTGCTTTTTTTGGAGTATCTGAGAAATCCACAAACCTAATGTGCAACTTAAGGTTTTTCAATTTGTGCTACAAGCTGGAGGCAAGGAGACTAGTATTTTCTAGACAAGTGAAATTGTGTCCTCTACCACTTAGCACCATGGAGCTTGAAAGGATGTCTGAATGCATCTCTTCTTCACTAAAGCTGTTCTCAAAGGCCACAGGAACAGTTAACCATGCCCAACACTCTGGCCCTCCAATTTCCAGTCCTGTATTCATTCTAGATACTACTCCTAATAGCTCTACTATTCATTATACTTACTGTAGGCTAGGTATTATTCTAACTACCTTTTAGGCATTACCTTACTTAATCTTACTTAATGCGACAACCACCTCCATGGTGTAGGTGCATATTATTGTTGTCATTTTTCAGGTGAGGAAAATAGGTAAGTATTTTGCTCAATCCCCAAACTAGCAGAAGGACTGCGCTTTCTATCTTGAACCCATGTAAGCTCCCACCCCAAATATGTGTGTTTATCTCCATTTTACTTCTTTCACCCCAAGGAAACATCTGTGCAGACGACTGGCTCCTTGGTGCTTCCCAAGTTGTCCATAAATTACAAAGTTCTTATTGGCATTTGTGTTGCACATATAAAGATTCAGAGAACAAAGTTTTGAACTTAGTAATGTCAAGTTCTCTCTCTATTGCTGGTAGAAAGGAATTACAGATTATTTGTCCTCCTTTTTTCCAGGATCCCTGCTTCTTAAAATACTGTTCTCAATTTGATGCCTAAAAGAAACTTCATTCTTTCCAGTTTGAGCTCCTTTAATTCCACATGAAAAATAAAAATGTGTGGTCATGAAATAACAGGAGGAATGAGAAAGCTGATAGAACTGTGAGCTAAATTGTTACTGGCTCTGATGAATTAATTAATTACCAAATAGGCGATTGAGCCCCATGCCAGAGCAGAATGTGTGCAAAGCTGCAGGCTAATCATGTCAAACTCCTTACAGTTATGGAAACTCTTGCTGTTAATAAGCTGCCAGCCAAAGCTGCTGGAGGTTGTCCGATTTCTTTTACTTTCTTTTTTCAATTTCTGGTGCAATTAAAACCACTCTTTGCATAAGCCAATAAATTACTCTTTTTTTCTAATGCACAGAACCTTAAACGGGTAGCTGAGACCTGGATGGATGAATTTGCAGAGTACATTTACCAACGGCGGCCTGAATACAGGCACCTCTCCACCGGGGACATCTCCGCCCAGAAGGAATTGCGCAAGCAGCTCAAGTGCAAGGACTTCAAATGGTTCATGGCTGCAGTGGCCTGGGATGTGCCTAAGTATTACCCTCCAGTGGAGCCCCCACCTGCTGCCTGGGGGGAGGTGAGGAGAGGTGGCATGCAAGTTTGCATGAGAGTATGTCCGTTTCTCCCAGCCTCAGATAGTGATATGAACGTGTAGCCTCCTCTTAGAAATTACTAGAGCTCAGGATTCAGCTCTCAGTGTTGATGAACTGACCCAAAACTGCTGCCACTATTGACTCCCCAGTTTTTTGAAGACATCTGGAAAATATTTTTGAGATTAGTAAAATGATCATAGGATCCTGTAGAGAATGAAAATATCTGTTATGATACTCTGTAAATAAAGGTGACCAGATATCCAGGATAAAATCCCTCACTGTCCTATATGCAGTTTTGTTGCAATTTGCAAACGTATATACAATATGATGGAAGGGTTTGGCTTCTTTCCAAATCAGAGCATACTATGCAGATTCATGAAGAAATGCATTTCCATAATGCAGATAGCTATGGGATGTGCAGAAGTTACATTGATTCCTTAAATAAGTACTAACCTTTCCACCTTTGAGTGCTTCTATTTGATTCACTTCATGATCTAAAATGGAAACAGCTGAATAGCCCCAGGTCCCTAATTTAAAATATCTATTTTTTGACATAAAAAAATACTATTGCACAGCTTCAGTTCTATTCAATACTGTTACTATGACCTTTTCCCCGTAGAAAAAAGGTGTGCTAGAACAAGGACTAAAATTGGACAAGGTAGATTTATCCCAGCAATTTAACCTGCTTTTTAGCTGAGGATGTCAGGGGAAATGCAAGCACCGTCCCAGTTCTCCAGCATTTCAGAAGCCCAGAGGTGACTTTCCAGCATTATGGAGAAGCTTTCTCATCATCACACTTGGTATTGTAGTTGTAGGGGTGAGGTTGGGGGGGGGGGGTCAGAAATATTGCCAAGTCAGTATTGATGGCTGTAGCACTGTAAAAAAAAGGTCGCAGGGCATAGTAGTAGAAGAGGCCAGAGTAATCAGGCAGCATTTTGGGATGAGCTGCCGTTATTCCTGGAAAAAGTGTACTCAGCAAGTCATAGGTGCATTGCATGTTTGCTGAGAGAGTCCAAGAATATGCTTTTTTCTTCCTGAACCTGGGACAGCCCACGAAACAGTCAGGTCCTCACTGCATGCTCCATCCCTCCATGTTTTTTATATAGTGGATGTGATTTTGACATTGCTTAAGTCACTTAGTAATTTGGTCTCATTTTTTGCATTTTAAACATCTCATTAAAATTTTCCTGGATTACAAGTAGCATTGGTCCACTAGCATTAGTTTCAACTATCTATCATAGGCTCAATTTATAGCAGTGGAAATTTATTTTATTTTATCTTTTGCTAGCTTGTTTATTTGAAAGGCAGAAAGAGAAACATCTTCCATCCACAGGTTCATTCCCCAGATGTCCACAACTGCTGGAGTTGGGCCAGGACAAAGCCAGAAGCCCAGAGCCTAGTGCAGGCCTCCTACATGGGTGGCAGGGCCACAACTACTTGATCCATCACCTTCTGCTTCCCAGGATGCACAGTAGCAAGAAGCTGGAATTGAGATTAGAGCTGGGACTTGAACCCAGCCACTCCAAAATGTGATGCAGGCATCCCAAGTAACCTCCCAACTACTATACCAAACCCCTACTCTATAGCAGTGAAAATTTAAAATAAACACTATGAGAACTCTCAGCCTAACACGTTGGAAGGCATAGGTGTTTGTTACCCAACAAGGAGTGATTTTCGTCCTAAAGATTTTTGGTTAATATTCTTCTTGCCATTTTTCTATGATGATTTAAATATCTTGCCTAGTGACCAGGGAATACACCTGAAAACCCCACAGTATCATTGTGTGGCTTGCTGCTAGGTAAAAATGTCATCATTTTTTTCTTTGCCTTATATGGAAACATAAATTTTTGTTCAAATCTGATTACAGTTTAAACTGCAATTGACCACATTTTCCCACATTACCTGGCTAAACCATAACCTATATTTATTTATGAAGCACATGATTTAGAAACAAACTCAAACATTCCAGTGTGCTTCTCAAAAACACACAACCTCCATTGCTCTTGATTGCCTCACATCTTGGCATCACTTCTCTTATCCCTGGAGATGTTTCCATTTATCATCACTGGTTTCAATAGTCGGGGCTAGTGCTATGGCACAGCAGGTTAAGACCTGGTCTGCAATGCCAGCATCCCATGTGGGTGCCAGTTCAAGTCTCTGCTGCTCTACTTCTATTCAGGCTCTCTGCTATGGCCTGGGAAGCCAGTGGAAGATGGCCCAAGTCCTTGGGCTCCTGTACCTGTGTGGAAGACCCAGAGGAAGCTCCTGGCTCCTGGCTTCAGATCAGTGCAGCTCAGGCTGTTGGGGCCATCTGGGGAGTGAAGCAGTGGATGGAAGACCTTTTTGTCTCTCTCTCTCTCTCTCTGCCTCTGTCTCTCTGTAACTCTACCTTTCAAATAAATATATAAATCTTTCAAAAAATCAAACAATGAGATCAGATTTTTTTAACACGATTATAAATTTCTTTCCCAGAAGCTCCAAAATAATAAACAAAGATCATAAATTAAGCTTAGGAAAGACAAAAATGAAGTTATTTAGTTCAAGGACCAATTGCTTTCAGTTTTGTTTGCTCAGTTAAGATATAGTGCACAGCAAAAATGAATACACAGAAAATAGAAGGGAGGCAAAAAGAAAGAAAATCAACCAGCAACAAGGGTTTTGACGAAAAACAGTTCTGGAAATATCAATTTCCCAGATTGAATAGATCCTGAGAGACTCATACATTTGAAACTTGTGAAACATGGACACTGAAGGCAAGAGGCCAGTGAATGATTTGAAATGTAGTTTCCTATAAATGAAATTATAAAATGGTAAGACTATTTTTAAATTCTATATATTTTTAAAAGATTTTATTTATTTATTTGAGAGGTAGAGTTACAGAGAGTGAAAGGGAGAGACAGAGAGAAAGGTCTTCCTTCCGTTGGTTCACTCCCCAAATGGCCACAACAGACAGAGCTGCACCTATCCGAAGCCAGGAGTCAGGAGCTTCTTCGGGGTCTTCCATGCAGTTGCAGGGGGCCAAGCACTTGGGCCATCTTCCACTCTCTTCCCGTGCTACAGTAGAGAGCTGGATTGGAAGAGGAGCGGCTGGGACTAGAACCGGCACCTATTCAATTGTATATTGAGTAGTAACAACCAAGTTTTTGATGTTGTATTTAAGAATTACTAAAAATGCAAAATATATCTATGGGACAAATTAATCTCTGAAGATAATCTTTCAAAATATTCACCCTTGTGTGATTTCTTTTCCTTTTCAAAAGGATTTTTTTATTTGTTAATTTTGAAATAATTGTAAAACTCCATGACTTTAAAAATAGTATAGAAAGTCCACATATATCATTCACCTGTCTTCTTCTAATTTTGACATTTTATATTTACCACACTAATTATGATATGCTTATTAAGCTATATACTTGAAATTGGTACAATACTGTTAACTAAGCTACACACTTTATTCAGTTTTTTTCACAAGTGTTCCTTTCCTGTTCCAGGATCCAATCCAGTATATAAGAGATTTATAATTTCTTATAAACTTTAAACCAATTGATAGAATGGGCAAAGCTCCTAAATAAATTTAATAGTTAGGTTGCTGTTTTAATAAAAATGTAAGAAGGGGAATACAGACTCTGTGGGTCTTTTAAAGCAATTACAGGAAGGAACCACAAACCACCAGCAACGTAAACACAAGAATCCTTTATGGGAGAGCTGTGCCAAAAAGCAGGCCAACCTGCCATTTTATGCACTTGTACTTGGAAGGTTTTCCACTTGCTTCTCTTTGCCAGCCTGATTCTGGGTAAACAATGAAGTGCTTAGGCCAATTTTGGCTCTGGTCATTGGAACTAAGCTTGTAAAGGATATGTTACACACCATAAACAGCCCATAAACTGCTACTCATTTCCCTGACAAATTCAGCTGGACTATTGCACTTGCCTCCTAATTCATCTCTGTGTTGCTGCCCTCCCCACTTTGGTTTAATCTCAACACAGTACACATAAAATGGGAGAGCAGCTCACTCCTTCATTCAACACCTTTCAGTGGCTAACATTTCTCACCAGGTGAAAATCAAAATCCTTACTTACGAGATCCTACCTTATCTCACCCGTGTTTTGCCTCCCCCAGCCCAATCTCTTACTACTTCCCCCAAGGATTACTATCCTCCAGGTGCATTGGCCTCATTGCTATTCCTCAAACAGGACAGATATATTCTTGCCTCAGAGCTTTTGCAGTTGTTTTTGCAAATACTTAAAATCCTTCAGTCCCAGAAATCCTATGGCTTCCTTCGCTTCTCTCATGTCCTCACTCAAAAAAAGAACATCTTCTCAGTAAGGCCTCCCTGATTATCTCATCTAAAATTGTAGCAATCCACACACACACATCCATGTACTCACTTACACATTCCCTATCTCCATTTCCTCTTTCATTTTTCTAATCAGCATCCATCACTATATGACAAGTCATGTGATGTATGTATTCATCATGTTGTGTTACCTCTGCTCTTTGGTCACAAGAAATAATGACTGGCATATAGTAGGTGGTCAATAGAAAATTTGTAATGAATAAAAGATGAATAAATGGAAGATCCTGCTTTCCTGTTATCTCACTTAATCATTCACTGTTTTGCCCCCATGAATGTATGTTTGAAGCCTCTACAGGACATGCTGAGTTATCATCTAATAAAGGGGAGAGGTCTCTGGACCACAAAGATTACCTCTTTGGAAAGTTTCACTAGGAGAACAGTTTGAATAATGATTATTAGGTAACTGATTCTGATGGACAGTCAGGTCTATAGTCTATATGACAATCAAACAAAATACAAAATACTCTGATGGACTAAGAGGAAGCAGGGTAAACTCCAAAAGTAAGATTTTGTTCCAGCAACTTATAAATTCTCAGTGCCATCTTCCTACTTAAAAGAGATTAAAGTCACACCTGATAGACAAATAATAGTCTCTTAGCAGTCACTTCATCCTCAAATGCACAAGGG